GCCGATAGTTAAGCGCGATTCGCCGTGCGGCGGCCGGATTAAGCCCGGCCCAATTCGTGGGATTAGCGATTTCAATTAACCAAAAATTACGCGATGCCCGGCCGAGCGGACTCTTGCTCGGAAGTGGCCCGTCGTGCACCACGAAGACCGAGGTCTCGGTCTCGGGGCCGCGCGGAGGTCGCAGCCAGCGGCGCTGCGCCGGGGTCGCGGTGAGCGCATAACGGGGCACGATGGCGAACCCACGGTAATGCGTATCAGACTACATTTCACGGTTGATCGAGGCCCGCCGCGCCGCCATAGACAATTTCCCAAAGGGTTCTAGGACGATATAATGGCGCTGGGTACCTGTGTGTATATGCGCGCGCCTTCTACAGGGTGTCCGGAATCGTGCAGCTCAGAACAAAAGTGTTCCACGGAACTCGAGAATATAGAGTAATATTCTTTCACGCGATGGAAAACTGTCGGCCGTACTGTTAACTTTGCGCTCGGGACTTTTTGAAACTTATGAGAACTTGTCCACGAAAATGTTGAGTTATCTATCAAAGTCTCAAACACTAGAAAAAAAACCACGTATCTATCTCTCGTTATCTGAACAATTAAATTATTCGCAGCTTTCGAATTTAGATATCAAAGCTTGGAGTCGCCATTATGGCATTCGACCGCAAAGGGTTAAATTAGAGTCGATTAATACGTCTGTCTATGGCTCGCCACTTTCACTTATTAGAAGCAGAGGACTAGATATAAAAATCTATTCTCGAATGAGACCTTGTGTACATTAAAGTATATAATATACCAATCAAAAGAGGCATATATACTGTGACGCATAAGGTTTCGTTCAATCACAGATTTGAATGACCTCGTCAGAAGAAGTGTATATCGAATAAACCTTCCAAGTTCATCTCGCGAGAGAAGCCTACAAGAACATTCTATTATACGCATTCAGCTAATTCCTCCGCTTCCTTCTGGTAGCACGATTTAGGAGGCACCCCGTACATGTACCCGCAGCCACGTAACTCAATCGCATTACGCGTAACCCGACCGGCGAGGGTCCGCTAGACGCCGGTTCTCCAGGGCTGAATTCGTCAATCGGCCGACGGTGCTCTCGCCGAAGGATAACGGCGGGGCCGGCCAACCGGCGGTCGTCCGGCATCGAACAGCCAATTCAGAAAATTGTGGTTCGTGGCACGTACGTCGATCGTGCCTCGTCACTTCGCAATCTTGCCTCTTCCTCGTTCGAGTGGAGGCGATCGTGCAACCGGCTAAGCCGTAACTCTGCGAGCGCTCGGGGTTCGTTATTCCTCGCGAGAACTTATCCAGTTAACCCTCCGGACTTCTTCTCCGTGTTAACGTCAACGTGTTTCGGTGCCGGCCCCGCCGATGTTCGAGCCCTCGAACGATTCATGACAGGGATTTCGCCGGCTACAGAGGTTCAAGAACTTCGCGTTCCCGAACTATCGGTGCTCGCAGGAATGTTTATGAGAGGGCGGACAGTGAAAGTTGGGAGGAAGGACACGGGGTCCGACGGTGTCTCGTCCGGAGCGTATTCGAACATTGTTCTCGAAGGATCTGTCCGCAAAGCGAGCAGGCCACTCGGATCCGAGCGTCTTCCGACTCGTCGTCCTGGCTGCGGTCGAGTCCCGTCCACCGACCGTCCTCCTCGCGGGTCGTTACAGTTTAATGCGTCGGCCGGCGTCGTAATGCGCATTCATCGCCGGCGAAAGCGCCGGGCTGTCCACTCGCTCGTGTAAACATTGCGTACTCTCGGAGCAGAAATCCTACGACCACCCTCTCCCCTCCGGCCCCGGCCTCCTTACGTCCGCGCGCCGTTTCCTCCGGGGACGTGTGTCCTTATACCGGTTCCGTGAGCTTTAATGAAACCCACCAAGCGTCCCGTGAATCGTGCTTGCGGCCCCATTGCTCGCTATCACTGGTTGCTCGATGGATCGTGCTTCGAGATGCTCGCGCGAACGGGGAGAGCTGTTTGACCCTTTGCGCACGGAGGATCTCTGGAACTGCTGAAAGCTGTTCCTAGAGACTGAGCTACGGGGTGAAATATTAGAAGAGATCTCGGTGTTCGAACAATGGAATTACACGTTGGCGGATGTCGATTGTAGATATCGGAACTCGAGGTCGTTACGGCGTTCGACCGCAAAGAGTTAATCCGCTCCGTAACAATGTATCGATACGTCGGGCGTAGCGGGCTACTTTGATTTTTGTCGGTTGGCCTTATAACGTCTGTCGCACACGAACAGACGATTCAATAGAGGGGCTCCAGACAAAGCGAAGTGTCCGGGCCGGTTGGCCCATTCCGCCGGCACGGTCGCGAATGGATTGGCGATCGAAAATCCGATGAAAACGTCGCCGCCCGTGATCC